ACTGCCCTTCCAAGTTGTCCACCTTGGCTTGGCCCGCCCAGGGTTGCCGTCGGTACCGACCTCACGGGCGACCTTGCTGACCTCAAAGCGAAAGTGTTCAGTCGGTCCACCATGCCGTTGATCGTGCTCTTCAGGTCTAGTATTTCACCCCTGGACGTTGGCGGTGACCTTCTTGGTCAGATCACCCTTCGCCACAGCGGTCGTGACATCGGCGATCTCCCTGACCTGGGTGGTCAGGTTGTTGGCCATACGGTTGACATTCTCGGTCAGATCCTTCCACGTGCCCTCCACATCATTGACGGTAGCCTGGCCACCGAGCACACCATCCGTGCCGACCTCCTTTGCAATCTTCGTGACTTCCTGAGCGAACTGCCGTAGTTGGTCCACCATGGAATTGATGATATTTTTCAGCTCTGCAATCTCTCCCTTGCAGTTAGCCTGCACCTTCTGGGTCAGGTCACCCTTGGCGACGGCTTTGGTCACGGTCGCAATATCACGCACTTGCGTGGTCAAATTGTTGGCCATGGCGTTGACGTTCACCGTCAGTTCATTCCACATGCCTTGGACGCCTTCAATCTGGGCTTGACCACCAAGAACACCTTCTGTGCCGACGTCACGGGCCACCCGCGTGACCTCCGTCGCGAATGTGCGTAGTTGGTCCACCATGGTATTGATGGTCTGCTGCAGTTCCAAGATTTCACCCTGCGCGCGACTTTCGATCTTCTGGCTGAGGTCACCGTGGGCGACGGCGGTGGTGACGGCGGCGATTTCGCGCACTTGGTCGGTGAGATTCTTGGCCATGATGTTGACGTTCTCCGTCAGTTCCTTCCAGATACCATGCACTCCGGTGATCTGGGCCTGGCCGCCGAGGATACCTTCCGTTCCGACCTCGCGGGCGACTCGGGACACCTCGCTACCAAAGACCTGGAGTTGGTCCATCATGGTGTTGATGGTCCGTTTGAATGTGGCGATTTCCGGGTCCATCTCCAGGGGGTGAATTTGCACCTTCATGGACAGGTCACCGTTCGCGACCTGGGTGATAATGCCGCCGATCTCTCGGAGGGCTTTCTGGAAAGCTTCGTTCGCTTGCTGATGCTTGCGGAGCTCCCGTTCCAGCAGCACGACGTCTTCATTCTCGACTTTGGTGAGCGCGCGGCGCGTCTGCTCTTCCTGTTGTTGTAACTCATCCCGGACCTGGGCGATGATGTCCTTCTGAAAACTGATTTCCTCGGCCTGTTTCTGGACATGGTTCCGAAGATAGCTGATGTCCTCCTCGCGCACCAGTCGAGTCCTGGAGTCCAACTCCTCCTCCTCGTCGCTGTCATCCTCCTCCAAATCTTCTTCACGTTCTTCCGGCTCGGCGCCTGTCCGTCTCGTTCGTTGTGGCGGGTGCGAGTTTTGTTGCTGCAGGGTGGAAGATTCGTTAGAATTTTGCCGGGAGTGTGGGCGAGAGAGACCAAAGGACCAGAGAAATCCGGCTTCTCCCCGACTCGGCTGGAGAGCGGACCCAGAAGCGTCAGGGGAGATGCCGGGGGAGGAAGGTTGGTGACTGACAGTTTGGAACTCCAGATGATGAATCCTGCGGACTAACGCCTCCAACTCGCTTTCAAAGGCAGCCTTGGCCGGGCTCGGGTCACCGGGGAGTTTTGAAATCTTTGCATCGTAACCATTGGCGGGCGGGAGGGAAAATTGGAAATCGAAGGGAGGCGCGGTGCCGGAGGGAGACTCTCTGGCCAGACCCTGGAGGATGGCAGCAGCGGCCGCGAGCGTTTCGTCCGCGCCAGCCATTGTGTCCTAGGAGGACTCAGTCAAAAGCGGACATAAGTATCGGCGTCGTAAAAGTAGGTGCGTCGTGTTCCTCTCGGTCAAGCGTCGTCTATGGGGGAAAAAAGATGAGAATCACTCCAGAAATGTTGTGGGGATAAGGGGGGTGT